TATATATATATATATATATATATATATATATATATATATATATATATATATATATATATATATATATATATATATATATATATATATATATATATATATATATATATATATATATATATATATATATATATATATATATATATATATATATATATATATATATATATATATATATATATATATATATATATATATATATATATATATATATTAAACCTTTAGTAAGAAATATTATCGTCGCGAAGTCGAGCCATGACCACCCGATTTAATCAAGTATATCGCCCTTCAGCTGTTGTTGTTGCGCTGTCTACCACATCATATACCGCGCCCCTCAGGCAAAGTGCTGTGTGCCGACGACACGACGACGGCCGGGAAGGACGAGAGCGACGGCGACCATTCTGTCGTACCGCCGTACAAGGGCAACGGCTCGAGCGCCCTCGCCGTCGCCGACACGGCGATGCCGCCGCTGGCCATCACCATTCCCCCACAGCCTCAGGCGACATGCGAGGTGGCGATGTCAGCGGGGCCGGCGGCCAGCGGATCAACCTAGCGGCCTTCAGGGCCCTCCAGGCGTCCGCTGGCCCGTGAGGAGCGGATGATGATGATGATGATGATGATGATGAGGGGCGGCCGAGAGCTAGAAGCTGCACTCTTGAGCACTCTTGAGGCGGCAGCCGAGTACTGGACAATGCGGTGCTGAGCAACACAGCGCATTTGGCTTTTAGCCTCCTGCTGCTGCTGGCGGTGGTAATAGGGGTAATAGGCACGTGCGCGCGGTAGATTGGGCGCAGATTGCATTTGGGCATCGGGCCTGGAGTTGCTGTTGCTTTTGCTGCTGTTTCTGTTGACAGGTTGGTTGGTTGGTTGGTTGGTTGGTTTCGCAGCAAGGTCGGCCGAAAGGGCGGGGCACGGGACGTCTGATGCGACTTGCTGCGTACTAGGGTACTAGGGCTGAGGCTGTGTGTGCGTGTGTGTGTGAATGGGCGTGCATGTGGGAGAGGTAGTGGCGGTAGTGGGGGACTTTGTGGAGGGGTTTGCGGAGTTTGGCTGTCGGTTGGGTGGTGCATTGGTGGTGATTTACCTGTGGTGGTGGTTGCGCCAGTCTGATGGACTGCGGTGATCGGGGGCCCGGTCGGCCCTACCTAAGAGAGGAACCCTAAGAATACGATCCGGATCCGAAACCGAAATGTGATAATGCGCCTGCGGTGGCGGTGCTGTATGGGTGCACCTAGCAGCCACCTTCCATTGAGTGCGAAAACAGCCTTCCGGCCTTTGTGACGCGATCTGCGCCGATTTTTTTTCCCTCGATGATGCATCATAGATTTAAGTCCGCCGTATCCATCTGGCCACGCAAAGTAGTGTTTGCGTTGCCTGTGGGTTTTCGCATTGGGTAGCTGCATCTCTTGTTGTACCAACAACTCTTATTAGGAGGAAAGCGCACCACGCGACGACATGCCCGGACAAAGCTGAGCTTGTTATGCCTTATCATGCATTTGCTAGATGGCACGGACAACAAACGTGTTGTATTGTGCGGTAATGTGTGCCGCCATACTGCTGGCTGCACCTCGCAACTTTAACCCGTCTTGGTGGGTGGTGGTCGTGATGCCCTGGTGTCATGTGATGATCTTGGGGGCCCCCAAAGGCCATCTCATCGTGATGCGGGAGGCAAGTGTACTGCTCCTGCCTTCATTCAAATGCTCCTTAATTAATACGGCGTGAGACCGCAATGCAATGCACGTTACTATGTTGTACGGTCGTACGAAGGGTGATCTTTTGGCGCGATGAGATTTTCGGATGGGCAATAACGGGGTGGTGATGTGATGTGATCTGACCTAATGTTTCTTGCAACTGCGTGTTGTCGTACCTTGTCGTACCTTGAACGGCGGGAGGCAAACGTGTGGCCCAGCCTGGGAAGGCCTGGGTGTTACGTGCTAACTGACATTGTTGTGGCGGAGTTTTTCGCGCTGCTGCGCTGCTAAGGACACGCCGCCTTGTTTACAACCTGTAATATGTATCCTTTTCCATATAATCAATTTTCAGTCCAAATGCGAGTGGAGTAGTCATATAACATAGTAGGGGGGTGTCACGAGAGTTGCTTTGGAACTCTCCCTCCTGAGGTTAGATGAGAGCGGGCCATGGAAACCCCCTCCTGCATAGGTCTTCAACATCTATGAGGAGGAGGTCATGGCAGTGAAGGTAAGTGGGGAGAAAAGGAACCCTTTTAAGTCCAAGCAAGGTGTTAAGCAGGATGCCCCCTTGGCACTGAGTTGGAAATTCGGGGGGATGTTTATCGAAATTCTTGCGATATGGCAGATGAGGAGGGTTGAAAAGATTAGGGATTGGGGTCACGTACTGGCGGGATGGGTGGGTGATTTGGGTTGGGTTTGTGAATGGGTGGCGAGGTTGGCAGGTGTACTCGGGGGTCTCTGAAACGAAAGAAAACCAAGGGTTATTGTTCTTATTGCCACTTTGCGCTGTCGGGTGTCAAATGGCCGAATGCGAAGGGTGTAACGATCAAGGCACGTAGGAGAATAGCCTAGGAACAGTATGACCAATAACTAAGGATAGACGGTGTCTGGCGAACCTGGGTGGGGGTGCTCAGCGTGCTACTGCGGGGAGGGATCAGCCCCGGGACCGAAGCCCTCCTAGGCCAGGGCGGTTGCGCCACTGGCTGAGGTGCGGCCAAAGCCCCTCCAGACAAGCTCCCGCCCCGCCAGCCTGACGTCGACAAGGGTCCAGTCGGACTGAAACAATAACCCCCTGGTGCGGCCGCGGGCTTGCTGAGCGGGGGCCTGACACAACTCTGCGTGGCTTGGGGTTTTGCCCGGTAGCTCGTTGAGGTCGGCCGTAGTGTGAACAGTTTTGGTTGTAGGGTTCAGCTTGCGGGCTTAAGGTGCCGGTAGGGGGGGCCCCTTATCACGGGGAGGAGGGGCGCCCTAGGTATTGCAAGGACCCTGGGTGCGCAGCCGCGCCTGCTCAAGGTGCAGGCCGCATGGACGAAATTGTGCCACAGGGCGTGCTGAGATTGGTTGTTTAAGGGACTTGTTAGCCACCCTGCCTCTTTCCCCTTGACACAAGGGTGAAATGCGGGGGTGCACGCCCGTCGCGCAGGAGGGGATAGTGACCCCTCACGCCCCTCACGCCCCTCTTTCCCCACAAGGAAGTGGTGAGATGCACATGTCAGCTGACTAGGATTTGGGTCACCAGCGTATTAAATAAAACTTGACGATTGGAAGTCCTGAGCGGGAAGGGGGAAGGCGGGAAGGAACATCAGAGGAAGAGTGGAGAGTAAATTGCATAGGCCGGGCATAAGGTATGAAGGCATGGTGCTGCAAGCGCCGACGAAAAAGAAAAATGTTGGTCAGCAGTATTGGTCTGTATCAGATATTGTTATCCTTAACATGTAGATAGGTCACAGGACAAGTCGGTATCCGCTCTGGCTTGTGTACGACATCAGTAATCATCACGTTTATGAGGTAGGAGGGAAATGTTGTGGAGCTCATAGACAGCATGTAGGTATGTTTTCTAAATTTCATTTCCATGGGCCCTCTAGGAGAACCGATGCGCGCTTGGGGCATATCGCTGAGGCGGAAAGTCACCGGGGATGCTCGTACTATGTTCGTAAAACATTCCTTCATTTAGCAAGCCTGGAGTTATCATTGATTCAAGCTATTGATGCGGACTCTAACCTTTCCCTAGCCAGACTTAAAAAATTATTGGTAGCACTGCTCACTGTTGCATTCCATTAACGTGAAGGGGATTTGCGCAGCAAATCACATGGTTTTACGTCTCTCGGATGAAATTGTTTTTGTTTTTGTACTTTCCCTATTTCTTGCGAAGGCATATGGGAACGCTGGTGTAGGGCCACCCATGCATGCTGGAAAAGCTTCTGGAAATGGTTATCTGGAGGCTGAGGTCCCATCGACCCTTCATTTCAACGCATTTACATCCAATAGAAGCATTTCAAGGTGGGAAGGCGACATGCCGATTTGATGAAGCACACATTCATGCCTGTCCAGGGGTGTCTTCGCTGAATTAGGAAGCAGAGAATAGACCCGGAACATTTTATAATACAACTATTGTGCAAGTACAATGCTGTCCAGCTGAGTTGGGCTCGGATGTGCGCAAGGTAGCTTACAGCTATTGCGCACCGGTAAGGCAGTGATACTAGTCATCCCAGCCCTCGCGGTAAAAATTAGGGCAAAAAGTACATTCATTGAGGTTACATTTCTAGATCAGCTAAACAAGCGTGTGACGTGCCCTGATGCTAGTCGTAATTATCTAGCTAGGTCACCAGCTGGTAACTTCTCTGGTGGCCCAGCAATAGCCGGCCGTGAGTTGACTCTGTTATCACGCTTACAGTACAAAATATCTTTAAAGTTATTTCCCGCAATTCGTAAGCGCTGCAGGAATACGGGACAGTTTTACGTTTTATGCCAAATTTCGTTCTCTGTTTCAGTTTCACTCTCCTAGACTCCCAAGGCGCTTGGCACACACGTGGTAATCGTGTTACGGTGGATTCATGCCCTCCAAATCCTTCATCCTTGTAACACCGCACCTGCTGGACCGTCCGGATTGCAGGATAGGCCGCCTGATCCGCGAAGCCTGCTCTGTCCCGCGCACCCGGTGCGACATCAAGCCGGAGCTTTCCGACGGGACTCCAAGCCCGCCCTGTGAAATGCGCAAATTCGGCTCTGGCTGGGGCGCGCACAAGCTGTGCACACCACCAGCCCCTGAGCCGAATACGCGTTGCGTCTTCTACTCTTTCGGCATATCCGACGATTACAGCTTTGACGTTGACCTGGCCAAGTTTACTAATTGCCACGGTTTTGCCTTCGACCCTACTGTCGTACACCCCGGACTGTTGCTCGAACAGCCGCCTGTATCCTTTCACGCCATCGCGGCCAGGTCGTTAAACGAAGACTTGAATGCCAAATGGCACGCGGTGACCTCGGTCCCGGCACTTCGGCGCTGGCAAAACCACAGCCAGGTGCTGGTGATTAAAATGGACTGCGAGGGCTGTGAGTACTCCATTGCCCGCGACGTGCTGGCGGAGGATCCGCAGTTCTTTAACCACGTACAGCAGTTTGCGGTCGGTGAGTATGGCGGCGTCAGCCGGAGCGTCGGTGCGGGACCGGTAATGCGGTGCAGGGCCCCCGGCGGGTTTAAAATTGCGGTTGGCCTGCACCTGTGCGCCCTTCACCGGGCCCTTTACGAGCTACCCATATGCGGCGGAGAGTCCCTCCAGCACTTCACAAGTTCCTCTCCTGGTTTTTTCAGGGGTTTCTTCCTCCGGGCCGCCTTCCTTTCGTAACCGTTTCTTCTTTCTGTATCCGTTATCTCGAAAGGAAAAGGTTGTATTTTGCCACTCGGCATCATCACCCACCTCTGCCCACCTCTTGGCTACTTCGCATGTGGCCCTGTGTGCCCCTGTGTGTATGTGCGTGCGACCTTTCGCAGAGATCCACATCGCCAAGAAGTGGATCTGGAGCCGGAACCACACTCTGAATCTAGGCCACCTGTACACGCTGCTGGATGCGGCGGGGTTGGCGCTGCGGCACGCCTCACTGACACCGTGCAACCGGCGGCACGAGGCAAGCGGATGTGACGAGACGTTGTTGGAGCTCGGGTACCCGTGCTGGGACGGCATCATGTGTCAGAACTTGCTGTTTGCAAGGTCGTGACGAAGCCATGACGTCGCTGATGATGTTGTGCGGTCCCCCTTCCGGTGTTTGTTTTACCGCTTGGTCCCCTTCAAGATGAGTCTCCGCGACGGAGTCCGCGTAGCGGTAACGTTACCATAAAGCCCTTGTGCGCATTGCAGAGGATAGGAAAATTTGACCGACTGATTGTAGCAAGCTGTAACGAACGGGGGATAGATAGATAGATAGATAGCAAAGCTAGAGCTTCCATAGGAGCACTGATGCAGACATGGCGCTTTTGGAGATGGGTGTATTTTCCTGAACTGACCTAGTGCAGTGGCACCTTCATGATGGCGGCGAAGAGACGTATTTTCGACTTTTGGGGGAGTGAATACCGCTATCGGAGCTCTTACAGACCCGACCCCACGCCCGGGCAATGCTGGCCCCGGGTTGTGGCGCCAGCGGTGGGGTTTGAGGTTCCTTTCTTCTTCTCGGTTTCAGGCGCGGCAGGATCGGCGCCGGCTTTGCCCACACGGCCATTCTTTCCATGGGAAGGACTTTCGGCCGATGCATGAATGCGTGGGCAAATATGTCTACGAGTCTACGGTCTGCTGCAAGTTTGGTTCTCCAGACACCTCAAACGGAACACGGCATTGCGGCCCCAATTTTGCCATCCTGACGATTGACAACCCCTCGGTGGTCATCTGCCTCCGTTTACATATCAGTGTCCTGGCGTTCCGAGCTGGTGCTGGACCTCGGTCGTGAAGTACTGCTATCTGCTATGCTGCTGTAACTCCTGGCGCACTGGGCCCCACCGGGTTAGGGCGACACAATAAGATGCACTTGCAGAGCCTTGTGGCAATTCCACATGCAGCGCCTTGTGGCGGTTTCCACTGGTGCGCGTTTCGCTTCACGACTTTTTCCCCGTCCCCCTGAAGCCGAGAGCCGACCGAAAATTGTGTGCGGATGTGCTTTATGAACGGCTTTACCTTACGTTATGAAACGTTATGGAGGGGAAGCGATGTGATAAGCTGTACGAGGTGCGGAGTGCAGCGGGAGGGAACGGGGACAACAGCGTGATCATCATATGTGTGTGTTTGTTACATGGTCGTGGGTGGGTTCCCCGCACACACCTGCAAAACACCCAAATACGCCCAAATCATTATATGCAGTGCTGGTTGTTATCTTGGGGGTACATCTCTTGCCTGTTTCACTTGAAGGGGGATTTTCGGACAGAGGCCGTGTGGCGTGGCCCTTTTCCATGACGTGGCTGAGTGGATTAGAGGGTGACGCGGGATGGACTGAATGCCACTGTACATGTCCCGGCACTTGTGTGTGCAGCGAGCGGATTCACCTGCTGAGTCCCACTGCTTGCGCGACAAAGTACGGGGGTCACACCCCGTTCGATGGTATCGTTGGCGATGTTGAGGGTCAACCGCTTGTTGTTGTGAGAGCGCTTGGCTGGCGGTGCATGGTGATGGTGATGGGACAAGCAACAGTGATGGCCTTCAGCGCGGTGTCCTTGGCTTGATACATGCTGTGAGAGGGCCGGAAGGCAGCCCGACGAGCTGACGGACTACTTCGTTGGGCTGATGTGTCCAGCGCAGAGTTGGGAGGACTTCCATGCATGTGCATTGCCGAGGAGTGTGTCTGCAATGTTGTTGTTGTTGTTGTTGTTGTTGTTGTTACATGGTCGTGGGTGCGTTCCCCGTACCTGCAAACCACCCTAGTACGAGCCGAGGGCTCAAGGGCTGCCAAATCGCCTATAAGCACCATCCTGCAATGTGATATCGTTGCCATGTTTCGCCAATGTCCTGGAAGATGAGGGCTCACATGGGTGCCATTCTCACCACACAGGCACAGAGGCAGGGTGGAAGTCAGGATTCATGAATGATGCTGGCATGGGCTCATCTCACCCAGTATTGCCAATAAAGCCATTTGGGTCATTTCACACGGTTCTACCCCGGTTGGGTTTCCTGACCGAGAAGCTTAAGCTTAGCCCCGGAAGCCGTCAGCAGTCAGTGAGTCAGTCAGCAAAACTGCAGCATGCAAACTACCGCCCAGCACATGTTGGTTCAACAGCACCTGCACCTCGCTCGCGCCGAGTAGCTACGAGTGCCCACCTCACCAACATCACTGGGGCTCTGGGGGGCCCCGCATCCCGCATTCTCCGCCCGCCTCTCCTCCCGCCGCCCGCCTCTCCTCCGAGAGCACACCGGTCCCAGCACTGATCCGCCTGACGGTTCTGGCGGCGGAGTGGCACGTGACGGCCAAGTCGAGTCATGGACACGGTACGGATGCCTCACCCGCAGCACAGCTTGTTGCGCAGCGTGTGTATCCAGGGCGGCAAGATGACGGTGATGATGGAGCAGCAGGCGGAGGCTCCCAGTTACTGTTGTCACACTAGGATTTTGGGGAAGGCGACATTCAGCGGCATTCGTGCTGAAGTCACCCTTAGCAAAGCAGGTTGGCGATGTTGACCTTGCTAAGAGTGACTTGTTTGGTGGAGATAGTTTCAATAGGGGAGGAGGTGCTGCTGCCCATCGATGTGAGGATCACGTGGTGAGGGACGGCGAGGATGCGCAGGGACATCAGCCCTAGGTTGCCGCTTTCCCGATAGGCAGCGCTCTTCCTTTTCGACCTCTACTGTGAGTGACGTTGCCAGCCAGCTGGGAAGAAATCGTAAGTCGTGGGCCAACTCCAGAGGACGCGAGCTGCTGCTCTCCTGGATGCCCAAATTCGACCCACTACAGCCGCACCCATTACGCTGCATGAGGGCAGCTGCTGGGGCGCTACGAAAGCGGACTACGATGATGGACAACTACATCACGGCTAAATGAATGATTTCGCTTCACCTCACCCGGTAAAATGCCGCACTCTACCCCACACCGGGATAGCTCATTCCACCTCGTTCCTCCCGCAGCTGCTCCCCGCCTGCTGTCCACCTGGGCGACTGCGCTCCATCCAACGTCCGGATGGGCGCAACGAAAGACAAACCGGAATAGCAGTACAGCGCAGCGACCGCAGCAGTGGAACAACAGCCACAACCCATGTCTGCCGTACTGCGACAGACCTCCGGCCGCCATATTAGCCAGGATTAGCTAATCCAGGGCTGCATATGTGAACCACATTACAGTTTACAGTGTCCGCACAAGTGCAGAGGAGTCCGTCAAAGCCACGGGGAGCCATGGACCGTTAATGAAAGTTTATGTTACGGTGTCGGGAGCCGCTGTCGTCATCCTCCCGGCCGCGTTAGAGCGCGAAGCGCCGGAGCGCTGCGTGCCTAGTCTCCCAGGCCTCGGAGAGGAAGCTAATTAATGCCAGCGGGGGAGCCTCCGTCCTGATGGTGCGCCCGAGAGGACATCGCATCCCCATTCTCTCGACATTCCTCGACGAGGGCGCTTCACTGACTTCCTCCTGGAGCCCAACGGAGGCGCTATGCTGGCAATTCACTCACTCACTTGAGAGAAAGCTGGCGGGTGGTGCCCCCCTGTGATGAAAGTAAATCTGCACGACTTGCGGTCCGTCTGATGGACTTCAGCCTGCAGGCGTGCGGTTCGGGACCCCGTTACTGGCCAATCGCCCACAAGGCCCACAAAGTCACCTGGAAGGCCAAGCATCTTGCGTTGGGGAAGGCCAGGAAGGAAGGCTGTTATTCTGGAGGCTGGAGCTGTGCTAGACCTTGAGCGCAAGAAGCTGGTTGACACTGGGGCACCACTCGGACCTCGTTACCAATCGCCGGGATAGGGGCTGCAAGGCTTGACACAGGGCGAGAGCTTGTCGAGGTCTCAGGTCTCAGATCAGCTTCCCTGTCCTGTCCTGACGACCAACAGCACCGGCCTGTGGGTTCTCTTTCCCACAGCGGTTCACGCCGCCGCACAAAAGGCGGCCCAGGATGTGTTGTTGTTACGTTAAGCTGCGAAACGGTCCAACTGTTTGTGACTACAACAGCTCTTCAAGTGAGCGAATACACCATATAGTTGGCTCTTTCATCATTACTGTTTAGCTACCCTGCTGCCAATGTGTTGTTGTTGTCCGGTGCAAGGTAGTGCAGAGGCAGGTCCTGCCGTGGCTCGCTCTCTCTGTGTGTGTGCCATCGGTGCCGTACAACGCAAATCTTGCACCGCCTTTTGCAATGCAGCCTGACAATCTGCCTTGAGAGCAACGTGACTCATAAGCGAGCTCATAATGTCCATTTCATTATGGGAAGTATTTTGAATGACCGTATAGGCTATAGCTGGCTGCTGAGGGATCTGCGGGGCTCTGGTTATTCGTCATATCGCGTCATATCGGGTCGGATGCCGACATGGCTGCCGACATGGCGCGGAGTGGTTACAACGCAGCTCAGCTCCTGTCAGGTCAACTGTCAGGTCGGTCCTCCGTCCTCCGTCCTCCGTCCTCGGTCCGAGGCTGCTCAGGTGCGTCAGGTGCCGCTGCCCCTCCGACCACCCACCACCCGCCAAGCACCCCCTCACCCACCACGCCCCAACCGCATCTCCTGCGGTGATGTAGTTCCCCCACCGGCCCTACCCTCGTTGTCCGCAGTCCCTCTGTCACACATCGACCACAACTCCTCACATCGAATTGGGGGACCTTCATGACAGCGCCGCGCCATACCACCACCACCACCACCACCACCACCACCGCCACCACCACCAATCTTTTGTCCCTGAGCACCTCTCACATCGCCTTCAGTCAGCTCAGCGATATGCGTTTTTCTCCGCCTCACCAAGTACCGCCCACTCCGCCCCCAACAGCCGGGAGATCTCCCCCAGACTCGCTCCAGGGTGGGCGGCACGGAGCTCAGGACGCCGCTGGGCGGCGAACCGGAGGTACGGGTTGCCGCTGCTGGGGCGCGGAGGTTGCGGGGCAGCCGCCGCCGCCGCCGCCGCCGGCGACGCTGTCGACGCTGTCCGCGACGGCGACGGCGACGGCTCGACCGCCATTGCGCCAAAGCGGCGCTGGCCCTCCTCGCCCAGCGCCCGCCACTCGGCCGCAATCTGGCTAACTGCCTCCCTGTACGGCACCTGGCCGCCCTCCGCCTCCTTGATGTGCTGCCACCGCTGCTGCAGGAAGACCGTGTAGCCGGTTCTGGATCGGGTCGTCCGGGAGCCGCCTGGCGAGTCGGGGGGAGTGGCTGCGACTGCGGCACCCTGCATGCGGGTAGGGAGGGAGGGAGGGAGGGTGTGGGTGGGGAGAAGCGGCACAGGGGCGAGGAGGTGGGGGATATGTGTGTGGGGGGGGGCCCCCGAGGGATGCTGTCGCGTGCAGGGATGCCTTCCAGTCAGAAGACATATTGAGAGAGACCTGGGGGGTTCGCGGAGGGGGAGAAGTGGGGGAGAAATCACTTTCCCTTTCTCGCCTCCTCCCCCCCCACACACACACTCACCCACTCACTCACTCACTCGCTCACTCACTCGCTCACTCACTCGCTCACTCACACTCACACACAGAGCCGTCCGGGCCCCCACCGAATCCCCACTACCTCCACCCCGCCACCCACAATATCTCCCCCTCCCCCTCCCCCTCGCACGACACATATACACATTAAAACACACATACATACCGTCCTGCTTACCGTGGCCCTGCTTCCTTTGGTGGCCTTCGCTGCCGCCGTCCCCCGCCCCCTCCCCCTCCTACTCGTCGTCGTCGTCCTTGTGGCGGTGGTGGTGGTGGTGGTGGTGGTGGCGTCGGTGGTGGTGGAAGTAGTAGTCGTGGCGGCGCTCTTCCTCCTGCCCCTGCCCGCACGAGAAGCTGGTAGGCCCTGCGCCTCCCTCGCCGCCTGACGAGCCCTCTTAGCTGCCAGCAGCTGTACGGCAGACGCGAGATCCACCTCCTGTGGGGCCCGGGTGGGTTGTGGGGTTGTGGGGGGAGGGGGCGGGGGAGGCACGAGGCAATGGGGGGAGGGGAAGCGGAAGAGGAGACCACACTCGTACTCGTTTGCACAGGGCCCCGCTATACTGCACCCTCCGGCACTGCCATGTAGCTATGTATGTATGTATGTATGTATGTATGTATGTATGTATGTATGTATGTATGTATGTATGTATGTATGTATGTATGTATGACTTAGATTACACTGTGGGCCGCGAGAGCCATGTATGTATGTATGTATGTATGTATGTATGTATGTATGTATGTATGTATGTATGTATGTATGTATGTATGTATGTATGTATGTATGTATGTATGTATGTATATCCCAAGCATGGCGCTTATTCTTAAGTTCGAAGCCGCCACCAGGAACTCAACAACTGAAGAAACAAGCCCCACATGTGCACACACGTACATACACGTCCTGCTCAAGACACATGGGCCCCCCCACCGCACACATACACACTCACCCCATCCCCCCCTTCCCACACACACCCCACACACACCCCGCACCAGCGCGGACCCAGCACGGCGGCCCAGACTGGCTGATAGTCCGTTATGCGCCACATAGGGCCCAAACGGGCCCGTGTTCGCCACCACCGGCAGTCCGTCCTGGGGGTGCGGCCCCAGCTCGCGAGGTAGCGCCAGCAGGGCCAGGGCCGTGGGGAGGTCCACGGAATGCAGGGTGAGGCCCTGGGGAGGGGGGGGGGAGGGGAGGGGAGTTCATAAGTCTCTCCGTACGTACAAAGCACCCCCCCGCACAGCGCCTCCACAGCGCCCGGTCCCCTCCGGATATGGGTTTTAAGGAATAGTCTGGCAGTGCACTGCTACCACACACACACACACACTCCCGCCCGCCCGCCCGCCCGCGCGCACACACACACACACACACACACACACACACACACGCACACCCGTTTATCCCCCACTCCCTCCTCCCACCCCTCCCCGCCACACCTTGGCCTTGGGAATGGCCGCCCGCTTGGGTTTCTTGACCTCCACCTCCACCTCCACCTCCACCTCCACCTCCGCCGCCCCGCTCTCGCCCCCGCCCTCCTCCACCGTCCCCCCAGCCCCCTCAGCCTTCACTCCCGATTTGGGTTTTCGCCCCCTCCTTTTCGGGGCGGCCGCCTTCTTCTTGGGCGCCTTGGGAGCCGAGTTGCCCAGCTGTACGTACAGCCCGTACGGCCCCAGTCGTACCCACACCGGCTCCCTCGTCTCGGGATGGCTGCCAAGCAGCCGCTCCGTCGCATTGCACGACAGCGCCGCCGAGGGAGACGTCTCCACCGCCTCGCCCTCACCGTCCGAGCTGCTGCTGATGGCGGGAGGGAGGGCGGCTGAGTCTGCGGTGCGCACAGAGGAGGGGGGGGGAGGGGGGGGGTCCCTCAAGGTTATGCAAGGACCCACCCGGGGTGGGGTGGACCAAGCCGGACCTGGTGCAAATGGTGCAGCAGCCTGGCTGCCTGGGCGGAACTGTGCCGCAGCGCGTGCTGAGGTTGGTTACAATAGGGCCTCCGTAGGCACCGTGCGCTCCTTCATCATCATCATCATCATCATGGTGGTGGTGGTGGTGGTGGATTACGTGAGGTAGGTAGGGAGTTAGGGATACACGGTGCGGGCCGCGCAGTCCCATGCGGTCGAGCAGTACTAGGGGGGGGACTGCGGGGACCCCTCACGCCCCTCTCCTCCCGCCGCTAGGGGGGGAGAGTGCTTCGGCGGTAACAGTTACCGTTGGCGGTATACGGTTAGGTGGCCATGGCCAGCGTATCAGGCCCGGATCGATGTGTAACAGAATACACAGGGCGTGTGTGTCTGTATGTGTCTGTATGTGTGTTTGTTACATACCGATCCGGGGCCCTATGTGTTTCCGAGGCGCCGGGATGCGGCCCTCCCGGGAGCGGTCGGGTGGGGTGGGGCGGTGTGGGATGGGCTGGGGTGGGGTGGGGCGGTGTGGGGTGGGGTGGGGTGGTCAGTCGGCGGCGTTCTCTTCTTCCTTTTGCTGCTTTGCCCGCCACCACCACCACCACCGCCACCGCGACCACCCCCCTCCATTCCCCACCACCCTCACGACTGACAGATACATACAGACATACATATGCACACACATACCCGGCAGGAAGAAGTTCCCCCAACCCACCTCGCCCCTCTATCCCCCCCTCCCCCTTCTTACACAACTTCTGGTGTATCCGTCTGTATCCTCCTGTGCACCAGCTTCACTCGTTCACGTGGTTCGCCTTCCCCCCCCCCTCCCCACTTACCCCCCCCCACACACACACACACACACCCGGTGCCAGCTCCCCCCCCACCCCCAGCCGCATCATCGGTCGGCTGTAGTCGCACACCACCGCCGGGTCCGCGTACAGCGAGCAGCCGATGAAGCCCCCGTAGCGGGAGGGCTTGAGGACCAGGCGCCCGCGACCACATTTGGGGCACAGACGGGGGTCGGGGGCGACGACAGCCGCCGCCGCCGCACGCAAAGCAGCCGCAGGGGCCGCAGGAGCAACAGCTGGAGAACTAACGACGGCCCCTTGGACGTCAATGACGCCGCTACTGCCGTTGCTACTGCCGCTGCTACTGCTACTGATGGTGGTGGGGGTGGGGGTGACAGAGGCGGCGGGGCGGAAGAAATAGCTATCTAGTGCGCTGTCCAGCATGTCGTACACTTCTCCCGTACGTATCTTGCCCATGGCGGCCACTGCCGCGCTGAAGGGGCTCCAGAAGGCGGAGAGTACGGCTTTCCAGGCGGCTCGGCCCGCTGGGGTGCGGAGTGGTGGGGTGGTGGGGGGCCCACAAGGACATGGAGGGGAGGGGGAGGGGAGAGGAGGGGGAGGTCCGTAGGCGCGCGAGCGCGTGTGTGTGTGTGTGTGTGTGTGTGCGTGTTGTGTTTTACGACCCACATTGGGGGATTGACGGTGGCAGAGGGCGGCCCACAGAGGGGGAGCTCCTCAATCATCTCATTAAGCGCTCTCACACACCTTTTATGGCCCGACACCTTTCACTCCCTCTCCCGCAATCCACACAGACACACACACACACAGGGCTGCCACGCACGCACGCACACAGCTTATGGTCTGTGGAAAAACACAGACAGACACAGATACACACACGCGCGCGCGCACACGCCGACAAACTCTAAAGTCCCCCTCCCCTCCCCCCCCCTCCCCGCCCCTTCCTCACCCGCCACGTCATCCAGCTGCCCTTCCAAAATGGAGGTGAAGTCGTAGTCCACGTACCGGGGGAAGTAGTGCTCCAGGAAGGCCGTCAGCACCCGGCCCAGACCGGTGGGTACCAGGGACCGCCCCTCGCGGGTCACGTAGCCGCGGTCCTAATCAGGACGGGACAGGACAGGACACGAAGGAGGGGAGGGAAGGGGGAGGAGGGACAGCAAGGGAGGGCCCCACCGCACGGGGAGAACCATCTAGTTGATGAAAGCCCCAAAAGAATCGGATGGCGGTGTGGCGGTGTGGCGCGAAGGGGAAGAAACACCGCGAACCTGACGCGGAGGGGATGCGGCGCCCGCTATCCAGCGGGGGAGGTGTATACACATACACATGCACATGCACATACATACAGGCACACGCGGGTAGGTGTGTTGTACAAGGGGTGGGGTCGGGGGAGGAGCGCAGGGGAGCAGGTCATCAAAACACGGACACGGACCCAGAACAGCCGGCGGGGGGCCGGGGGGGGGGCGGCGGGGGTGGCGGATGTCCTAAAGTCATCCCTTCCCCTTGCGGAGTGAAGATGAAGCGGTTGCGACTGCAAAATGGGAATACATACATACATACATACATGCATACATACATACACCACCCCGATCTCTCTCGGCCCACACACACCTGCAGCCGGGTCATTATGGGGGCGTACGTGGAGGGCCGCCCAATGCCCTTTTCCTCCAGTGTGCGAACCAGGCTGGCCTCCGTATAGCGGGGGGGTGGGCGGGTGGAGTGCTCGCAGGGGAGAATGGACAGCGTGTGCAGCGGGCAGTCCACCTGGAGGGGGTTCCGGAGCGGAGGGGAGCGGTGGGCGCGGAAGAGGGGAAAGAAATGAATGGGGGAGTGTGTGTAAGAGTGTGTCCGTGTGAGTTTTAGTGTGTGAAGTGTGTGTAAGTTTGTGAATGTCTCCCCCGCCACCCCACCCACCCAACCTGTAACGCCAGCAGCTGCTGCACCGCGGCGCCCCCACCGTCGTCACGGGCCAGTGTCGACTCCCCCTCCCCCCCCTCCTCCTCCTGCTCTCCATGCAACTGGGGGCCCTCCTCCTCAGTGTCCGAAACAGGCAAGTCAGCGTAGGCCCGCAAGAAGCCGGATTGCCTCAACAGGCTACCCGAGGCGCGCAAGGTGAGGGAACCCCCATCCGCGGAGAACTCCACCGTCACCTGGCCAATCGGTCGAGTAGGGGGGGGAAGGGGGGAGGGGGGGTTTGGTCAGTCAGCGTGTCAGTTCTCAACGTGGAGCTCAACAAGGCGGGGGGTGATGCGACACTAAAAGCTTGAAACCTCATTCCTTCCCCCGCCACCCACCTACCACGTCGTACACGGCACTGGCCATTTGCGAGGCCATCGCCCTCCTGAATATGAGTTCGTACAGCGCCCGTTGGTCGGCGTCCAGGGAGGGCGGCAGGGAGGAGGGGGTGACGGTGGCGGGGTGGGTGGGGCGGATGGCCTCGTGGGCCTCCTGCGCGTTCTTGGCGCGACTCTTGTACTGCCTGGCGGGGGGTGGGGTGGGGTGGGGTGGGGTGGGGTATTGAGATATCGCCAAGCCGTGTTCCGCACCTACCCCCCCAAACAAAAACACAGACACACACACACTCTAGCGCCGTACACTGTACGGAGTTACGTCCCCAACACCACCCTGCCTGTTGCCTTCGTACACTCGAAGCAGCACCAACACCAAAACCACACCTTGGCTGAAGCGGTAAGAAATCATCGCCGTACAATACACCAATTGTCGTACGCAGCTTCCCGACCGCTTCCTCCGACATTTGCACTCCGTCCGTGCGCATGTAGCTGATAAGGCCCTCGCCAGTGCCTGACGCAGGTATGAACACCGGAAATAGGGGGTTTGAGTGGGGGTGAATTGGGGGGGGAGTGGGGTTTGGAGGAGTAGGAGGACTGCTGAAAGGGGTGGTGGTGTCTGGGTCGTACAAGGGATGATGATCATCTGCCGTGAGTAAAAGAGGGAAGAGACCTGTGCATGGGGACCTGCCGGCCGCTGAAACCCTCGAAGCCCAGCATAACCCCCCCCCACCGGCCCCCCACCCCCACCCGCACGGGTGTCCCTCGGAACCTTACACTCCGACATTCGCAACAATCCCCATAGTGGAGAGTACGGCAGCTCGGATCCTCAAAACCTACATACCCACTACTCCCCAGCACGCACCCTCCTCCCCCCCCCCGCCCCCGCCGCACACATACCCCCCGCCTTCCTCCCTTCCCCACCTGCCCCCTCGTACAGCTGCTGCGCCACCCGCATGGTCTTGGCCGCTCCGAAACCCAGCCGACGCGAGGCCTCCTGTTGCAGGCTGGCGGTGGTGAAGGGCGGGGAGGGGTGGCGCTGCAGCTGCCGCCGTGTGACCCGGGAAACCACCACGGGGCCGGACTGGAAGGGGGGGGAGGGGGGGCAAGAGGGGGGTTGGGCGTGTGTGTATGTTAGGGGGACATCGCAACGCGCGCATCGGAACGCATTACGGGTACGGCAGCATGAACGAATGGGTGCGTGTGTGTTTTAATGGTCCTGCGTGTCGCAATGAAAGAAGTGTCGGTGGCTGGCGGTGGCTGGCGGTGGATGGCGGTGCACCGGACGATAACATCATACGGAAGCGCGCGCCGAATGGTGTCTACCCGCGGGGGGTGGCATTGGAATAGTCCCATGGAACTGTAGACGCAGCCTGCATGCGAAAGCAGACGTTGATTGGAAGAGTGATGTCAAGAGCCAGTAGAAGTATGCGGAGGGCTGCGGGCGGCTAGGTGGCTGGCGGCTAGGTAGGCCATGTGCGCGTGTATGTGTGTTTGTGTATGTGTGGCTTCATGTCTGGCTTGGTACGGGGAGGGGAGGGGAGGGGGAAAGGACCCCGGAGGGCTGTTCGGAGCGAAGCCTGCGGACAGAAAAACAGACAGACAGACAGACAGGAGGGGGGAGATGGGGGGCCAGTGAGGGGGGAGGCGGTTGCGCTACCACCAACCACCCGCACCGTCATTACGAGACCTGTCAGGCGAATATAATGTACGGCTGCTGCTGTACAGCGCGAAAAACCCTCAACAAGGTAGGACCGGGGCCGTGTCGTGTCGTGTCGTGTCGGGTGTCTCCCCTCCCCCTTTTCTTTACTTCTGCCGCATCAGTCTCTTTCCGTGGCATCAGCTTCACTCGCTCGTGGTTCTTCGTCCCCCCCCTCCCTCACCCGTATTCTATCCGCCAACTGCCCGGCCACCTCCCCACTGCGGATGTCCATAGGGCCCAACCGCCGACCGTCCACGTGAGTTAGCCGGGCGCTGAAGGAAGCGGGTGATGGTGGTTGGCGGTGGTTATCCTGGTTAATTGTTAGGTTGGCCGTTATTGACCAGTATGGTGTGGGAGTGAACCTCTCCACCTCCGCCTCCCGCTCACACACCAGCCGGAGGGCCACAGACTGCACCCGGCCTGTACAAGGGGGGGGAGAGAGGGTGGGGAGGGTGGGGAGGGTGGGGAAGGGGAAGAAGGGGGAGAGGGGAATCATGCGATGCTCCGAAGTTCGAACAGCAGCCGCCATAGGAGTCCAATGCCGCCATGCCGTAAATTCCCGAAGTAGCTCCGGAACCACCTTGCTGTGAGAGCAGATGGAGGAGATGCATAACCCCCCCCGCCGCCACTGCAGGCCCAAACCCCTCCCCCCCTCCCCCCTGCCCCCACCCCCCCCACCTGCCGACTTGGCCCCCGGCAGCTTCCTCCACAGCACGGGTGACAGGTGGAACCCCAGCAGGTAGTCTAGAGCTCTCCGGGCCAGATAGGCGTCGACCAGGGGCTGACTGACCTGGGGGGGGGTTAGGGGGGTTAGGGGGGGTTAGGGGTTGGGAGGGAGGATTACGTGTCCATACAGACAGACATGCAGACAGATATGTTCACGGACACACGGACAGGCAGGTACACGGGGAAACAGATGCACAGACAAACCGACAGACAGGCAGACGAGCGGAGCGACACATGCCGAGGGGGGTTCACGTGGTTCTGATGACGTCATGAGGTAACACCGTACGTACGGAGGACAGAGGGGGAATATCACCAGAGCGCTAGGAGCTCAGAATAGAGTGCCGGAGTCCAAAGTCCAAAGTGCGAGCTTGCTGAAGGATTGCAGGGCGGGGAAAGGAGGGGGGTTCAACTCAAACAGTTGCCTAGCCCCTCCCCAGCCTGACCCCTCCCACCCCAACCCGAGTGACCCACGGGTCTGCCGGCCCCCAGTGCGGTGGTGAGGGCGCTCCGGGTGATCTCCGTGAACGTGATCCGCTGTACGGAACCAAACCGGTGCAGCACCTTCCGCCGCTGCATAGGAGGGGAAAACCGGGGGAGGTGGGGCGGGGGCGGTTAGTGTTGTACGGCGCTAGGTGAACCACTTAGCTGGAAAGGAGACGGCATTTGGTCGTGTGGTCATGTGAGAGCAATCCACACTGGGAGGAAGAAGCCACGGGGGCTTCCTATCGCGAGGTACCGCCCACCCACCACCCACTACACCACATACACCCACCACAAACATTCGTTGCCTGGGCGAGCGATTCGTCTTGACATCGGCCCCCACTCCACAACCACCCACACAACCACCCACACAGCCGCTGAAGGTGCCCCCGGCCCCCCCACCCCACCCCCACTCGTACCCCCCCCCTCAAGCTCCTACTGTTGGAAATGATCGACACTCATGTACCAGGCAATGGTAGCCACAGTAATAGGACCCGGCTGAGGTCCGGCGCTTTGTTGGTTTTAACACCCCCTCCCCAGTCCCCGCCCCTCACCTCCAGCTCCCGCTGTATGTGCCAGGATATGGCCTCCCCCTCCCGGTCCGGGTCGGTGGCCAGCAGCAGCAGGGGGCAACCCGCGGCCGCCCCCGCGATCTGCTCCAGCCGGGGGCCCGCACCCGGCACCAGCTGCCAGTCCAGGGAGAAGTCATCATCGGGCCGCACGGAGCCCTCACGGCTGGGCAGGTCGTGGATGTGACCGTAGCTGGCAACAACCTGCAACCAACCGGCCAACCGAAGGGGGGCCCCGCAGCAACGGCAACAGCGGTACGGCGGACAGGCAGTCAGGCCAGTTGGCAGAGGGCTGGCTACATGCGATATAGGGCCGGCAAGGCCAACGCTGGCAACGTAGCCCGCACGGAAATTGCTTCCGTACGGTCTGAGCCTTCTGTATACATGTACTAAACGCCGTACTTCCGTACCTTGTACTTGTCCCCCAGGAAGCCCTGGATCTTCTTCGCCTTTGTCGGCGACTCCACCACCACCAGGGCGGGCTGCTGCGGCACACGGCTGGCACCAGCGACCACCCCCCTTCGCTTCGACCCATGGGTCGTTGTGACCCACTTCAGCAACAGCACGCCGCTGTGACCAATGCGGCCGCAACCGGCACCTCCGAGGGCGGCCAGTCGGCTGTTGACCTGGGTCATCAACCTGGTTCCGGAGCTGCCCAGCGCTGAACCGCCGCCGCCACATGCGGCAGCGCCGGCGGCGCCGATGCCTTGCGTCGGCGCCGCACACGGGTCGGATGCCGCGAAGGTGGGTAGGGCTGCTGGTAGAAGGAGCGCGGTGTGGGGCCGGTTGGACCGGGGCCCATGCGCCGGGGATAGGGCCGGTGGCCGCAGCCGCAGCCGCAGCCGCAGCAGGCCGGTCGGTGGCCGGCACACCGGCTGGCAGGGGTTCATAACTGCTGGGCTGCAAGGGGCCACAACGAGGAGTGCGCCCACGGGGAGTACGGGGCAGAGGCTGTAGAGTTTGCAGCATGGGAGCGAAGGGTGACGCATCCGGGTGCGGCGTGCGGGTGGTTTGAATAAATGGGTTTGGTCAACGGATGAGTGTGTCGGGCAGCCAAGGGAGCAAGTAACGGGGGAAATGCGGGGTCAAAGGATAAGACGAGGGCGACTGTAGTACGCATATGCGGTGTGCATGCGGTGATCTCAAGGCATGTAAAGTTGGCTTGCCTTGGCCGACAGGTCGGTGCCGCCATGGTCGTGAGTCGTGTCGCTCCTGACAGCTGTTAAGCACAAGTACGACTAAAAAGATTCCTCCACGATATGTTGAACCTTACGGAAATCATTGCAGAAAGCATGAATGCAATAAGCAAGAAAGCTGCACCCTCTATGAGTAGCTTATGTCGTTCATGTGGCATGTTTTCATATTAATTGTAGTAACGGTAGAGGTGCATTTTACCTGATCCGTGAGCTCTTTTTGACCCATGCTGGTCTCGGAGCGTCACAAGCCAACCACCACAAATATCTTTCGTGTACTAGGGTGAATTTTTTCTACCGCGGTGAGTTTACAGGCTGCGGACGTGTCTGCTATACTGGATATCCTGGCATAACGCCCACGTTTTCGAAGTGTATGATACTCGTTGTAAGGCGTTTTCCGTTGTGACTACAACATCAAAACTAGTCCTGTTTGTCTAGTGGATGATCTCAGAATGCAATTAGAACGTTGCACTCGTAGCGTTTCAGGGCTTCGGCTCGCAAGGTAAGACAAGACCTATGTGCAAAAAGCAGCGGTGGACCCCAGCATCAAACAATTATCGGCGTTTAATATTAATATCCGCCGATGATCGACCCCCGCTCTGCTTTGTCGGTCCTAGGGTTCCCATCCTGTGTCTGTGGTAGTGATGCTCTAGGGCAGTCGCTAAGGATATGCGGTTACACGTTCACAGAAACAATACATGATATCCTCCGTTAGCAATTGCTTATGCTTGGGAAGATGTATGTGGCCACTGACGACTCCGGTGGCTTACCTTGTCATGCGATGGACTGCGAATGCGGACAGGAATGCCATTTCAAGGGTCCGATGTCGGACGGTGGCGTCCAGCACAACCAGCATGCCCGCCACCGAGAGAACCCGGACATCTTTCCACCACGGAATAACTTATACCAGCTATGAGGTGAGGCCAACAGCTCAGGCGCCTCCAGGCCATGGATGGACCCATATCATACACACACAGGACCGCAACGAGCTGACTCTCTACACAAACTCTCTAATCAAAGCAAAGAGGGTTCCTCTAACTGAATAATAAAACTGTACGACGCACCTACGCACCCTTCTCCTGCTCTGCAGAACGTACCCCACCGTCGCAAAGCCCCTCTTACCGCCCTTAACGCGTTGGCCCTTCCGACCCCGCCGACCTGCTGTGTCATACATATCTCCCCCTCCCCCCTGGGCCCGTGACACCCCCACCCCCCAGGTCAACACTGCGGGCATTAAGTTCAACGCCTCAGGTGAGCACCCGCACCCGCACGGTGGCGACCCGGACCCGAGGAGAGTAAGACTCGGTTAGCCGCAGCTAGCTGGCCCCGGGGGGGGGGGCCGGCGCACCTTCGGGTGCATTTCCCTGACCCATGGGTCGCATGGCGGGATGGAGGTTGGGTGCCTGATGGGAAGTAGGTCACTTAGAGCAATACCAAGAGCGAGACTCCGTCTGGGTCCATGTCCCAGGATGGGTTTATCTCCATTTCTTAGCACATGCCATCATTCGTACGCCCACCCAGCCAGCCACCCAGCCAGCCAGCCAGCCAGGCCACTCGCAGTCGCGCAAATCGTAATGTGTTACAGCGGTCAGCGGCGCGTTCCGTTCCTCAGCAACTAGTTGTGGCCGGGTGGGGAGCTGTGAGCCCCTCTCTGGCATCTGCTGCTTCAATCGTCAGTGGTTCGTCTTAACCCCCCGCCTCTCCCGGCAGGGGGTGCTTGTTCGCCGCCGTAACCCGTCACCCGCCAACATCGGCCCACCGACCCACCGACCCATCAGACATCGTGCGGCTTACGTAAACCAATTTAGCATGTCAAGCTGTAGCTGTACTGCTATTGGGGTTCATCACGGAGCAGCGCACCCACATCCACATCCACACACGCGGCCGCTGCTGGCACCGGCCCGCTGGTCCCCCCGCCCCCCTCAGGCGTGCGGGTCCTGATCGACCCGTGGTTCATTGGCGAGCTGGCGTTCGGCGGTGCGGAGTGGCTGTACTCTGGTCGCAAGCGGGTGATCGGTCGGGATACCCGCGTGGACATGCAGCAGGTGCTGGCGGAGACGGACGTGCTGGTCATCACCCAGGTGGGGGGGGGCCGGGTGGGGGGGGATGCGGGGGGGTGTAATAGGTGGGAAAGGCCGCCAGGGCAGAGGACAGGGGAGGGCGTGTGCATGTGGGTGTGTATGGCGTGTGCGTGTGCACAAACACGCATCCCAGGGTGGTCCGCCGGGGGTGAATTGGGGGAACGGGTGGACCGCAAAGCCACGCAACGGGAACTCGGGTTCAGCGAACCCGCTAGAGCTGTCTAACTGGACTGAGAGCTCCCAACCCAGCTTAGCTCCGACCCAAACCAGCAAAACAACAACACCCTGAACAACCCCGGACCCCCCGGCAGGGCCCCCTCCGTCCCTGATGGTGACCCATCACAGAATCAATACAGCACCAACTTGTTCACCAACACCCGCTCCTCATTCCCCAACACGCCCCTTTCCAACCCCCCCGTTCAGCGGGTAGTAGTAGTGGCAGTCGGCGACAGCTGATCCGTTACCTTGTGCACATGGCATCCCCCTCCCGCTCTCATATATAGCTGCTTCATTCGCGGCTGGTTGGTGCCTTAACCCCCCTCCCGCTCAGGCATCCAACCCTACGTTACCCCCCTCCTTTCCCCCTTTCCTTTCCTGCCCTCCCGCCCTTCACGGCCCTCCTCCCCCCCCCCCCGGCCTCGTTCTCAGGGGCTGGACGACCACTGCCACATCCCCACACTCTCCGCCGTCGCCAATAAAGCCATACCGGTGGTCACCAACCCCGACGGGGCTGCGCGCATGCGCCCCCTGGGCTTCTCCAACATCAGGGTGCTCAGCCCGGGGGAGTCCACCACCGTCACGGGGGAGTCAGGTGGCCAAATCAGGATACAAGCCACGGCGGGTGAGGAACACCGAAACAACTGCGGCTTCCATTCCCTTCCTCTCTCCCTGCGTACCTATGTCCTTTTCCCCTCCCCCTTCCTGGCCGCGATGACCCCTTCCCAAGTCACTATTACTGGTTGGTGACTTGTTACAATTTCCTCTGCAGCATCTGTCTACTCCTGCGAACTATTCGTCCATCTCTACCTGCGTCACTCGCCTTACCCCCCTCCCGCCTCCCTCCCCTCCCCCGTTGCCCGCTTTCCTCCCCCCCGTCCCCGTCCCCGTCCCCCCACCCAGGTGCTCTGGTGGGGCCCCCCTGGACTCCTCGACAGTTGGGGCTGTTGATGCGGGAGGTGGCGGCGGAGGGAGAGCGGTCCGCCTCCCTGTACTTCGAATCGCATTGCGACTTCGACCCGGCCAGTTTGACCTCGGGGCTGCAGAGCTGTCTGGCGGGGGGGCCCGTGGACGTGGTGGTGTCGCCTGTGGTGTCCACATTGCTGGGCGTGGGACCGGCGTCGTACGAGCTCGTACAGGTGCGTGTACATGGTTTTCCGTACGTACGTGTCTTGTACAGCATAATACGCGGACAGTGTGGAGCTGGCATGTCGATGTCCTCCATGTCGATGTGGGCCACAGCCGCCCGAGCCTGGTGCCGGCAAGTCCCTCACTCGGGCTACTCGGGCTGACCTATTCCCCGACAGTTTCATAAACTCGTTGAGCCCCACGATAAGGACGTACAAACATACGAACATGTTGGGCCGCGTTCCCTTTCCTCTCAGCGCAGGACAGGGCAGCACAGCATGTAACGTCCCTCTTGCTCTCTGCTCCCTACCCCGTCGTTCACTTCCTCTCCCTCTATTTCTTACCCCCACCACCCACCACCACCTCACTCGGCCAGGGGGCTTCCAACCTGGTGCGGCTGTTGCGGCTGTTGCGGCCCAAGGTGCTGCTGCCGCTGCTCAATCACGACATGGAGGCCAGCGGGCCCCTCACCGCCATCATGTGGCAGAAGGGAGACGATCGCGCGGTGACGGAGCTGCTGCGGCGGGAGGGGCTGACCGACACGCGGGTGGAGTACCCCGCACCGCCCGGGGAGGCCCTGGCCCTGGCGCTCTAGTGGGGGAGAGGGGGGGACGAAGGGGGGGTGCTGGGGTGGTGTGAGGGCGGCCGCTAGGATGGCAATATTCTCCCTGCGGGGGCGGGGCCGGCCGCCAGCGGAGTATTATAAAGCGGTTTGTGTGGAAGGGAGGGGGGCCGGAGGTTGGGGAGCTTACCTGGGAGGGAGGCGGTCGCGGGGCGCGGGGTGTTACCTTGCAGTCGGATGTGTCCGGGGGGGGAGGGGGGGGTCGGAGGGCAGTGCCGGGGTATGTGTGGACCTGATGTGGCTTGGGGTCTGGCGATTGCGGCGGCGGCGGCAACAGCGGCGGATGATGCATCGGTCGGTGCTTTCTGCAGCTCCCCGCCATTCCGCCGCCTCTGTAGGCTGAGCTGCAGCAGCAGCAGCTGCAGCTGCATACCCGGCGCCTGGAGCGTTCTGGGTGTGGGTGCGGGGTGTTGGGATGGGGGGGGAGGAGGTGGAGCTGGGCTGGACAGTGCGATGCAGATGGTGCCGATTGTGCGGCCAAGGGCCTTGCAGGGGGGGGGCTCCGGGGATGTGGCAGTGTGGTCGCTGGAGGCTGTTCCGTTTGTGGTGAGTACTACTTTTGAAGCTGCGGCTGCTGTGAGTCCACGACGGTGGTCGGAGGGGGGAGAGGGAAGGAGAGGGAAGGAGAGGGAAGGAGAGGGAGAGGAGAGGGAAGGAGAGGGAGAGGAGAGGGAAGGAGAGGGAAGGAGAGGGAAGGAGAGGGAAGGAGAGGGAAGGAGAGGGAAGGAGAGGGGAGAGGAGAGGGGAGAGGAAAGGGGAGAACTGGATATCCTGACGGGAGACGCGGTGTGTGTGTGTGTAGAAGGAGATAGACATGATGGGGACCCAAACAGTCGTGCACATATGACCTCGTCCGCATGTCGAAACCAACTTCATCGCCAGGTACTTCATATCCACACTGCTAGAGAGGACAGGGGCGGGTGTGCGTAGGGTAGTAGGCGGGAGGAGCGCCCTCTGCCTGTTGGACGCGAGGGCACAACACTGGGGTCGCAGGTGGTGTCCTAACAGCAAAGAAAACGGGCAGCTGAGGTAGCTCTCGGAGGCGTTGCGGGACGCGAGGGCGCAGCAGGACGGCGATGTCAGGGGCCGCTGACGACCGAGGCGATTTCGACGGCTACCGCTACTGCTACTGCTACTGCTACTGTGCAGGGGGTGCTACTCTCTGCTGAATGTCGGGAATCCTCTCTCGTGTGGATGTGTGCGTGTGGGTGGTGGTTGAATTTGTTGCTGTACGACCTGTGTACGACCTCGGAACGAAAGAAAATGGTTGCAGCGGTACCATGCTGAATTGTCGATTTTATCGTTTGATGTCACAGGGGGGGGGTATGATGTGGATACCATGATGCTGATACAGTTTCTGCCAACCAGTTGGGCTTCTCAGCGCCCCTTGCAGCTCCCCTCCACACCCCCGGGAGAGCAGTTTGCGGCCTCGCGCGCATGGTTAGTGATCTTGTGCTCTTTGCATATCGTCATCGTCATCGTTGTCGTGTGGCTCAGCCGTGAGCAGCCCACGAAAACAACAACACACATCAGGCCCCACTGCGATTAGTCATTCAGCATAAGCAGATTGCCATAACAAAAATATTTAGGTCACCGCTCTGTAGGGGAAGTCCAACCACACCGATCGCAGCCATCGCCACCACCACCACCGCCGCCGCCGCCGCACGTGTCTTCGTCCTCCGGCTCCCTCCCCCCGCCCGCCGCCCTCCGCCCAAGTAACAATAGCAGCACCAATATTCACAACAACAACACCCAACAGCCATGTCGACAATACAAAACGCTCCGCAGTGGTTTTGTGGGTTGCTAGCGGCGGTTAACTGCATCATCTAACACACCCCTCTACCACCACCACCACCGCAACCACCATCACGACGATGGGGCGGCTCCAAATCCCGCCCCGTCAAATGTCCAACGCATCAGCCGGTAATCGCAGCGGCAACCAAGGCGAAGTTGATTCCATAGGGCGGGACTTGGGGGACCACGGCTAACATTATGTCTCCGCAACTCGTGTGCGTGTGTATATGTAAGTTTACGGAAAGCCCATTTGAGGTGCCGTACACACCAGCCTACTTGCCGTGCAGTTGGCACCAGTTCAAATGGGAAAGGGAACCCAACCTCGTCAACAGTGGCCGCCTTGCTGCCGTTCTGCGGCGCCCTGCCAGCCGCGGTTGTAACAACACCAACAACAGCAGCAGCAGCAGTAGCAGCACCACCGGGGCATCGGAGGGATAGCAGCAGCAACAGCAGTAGCAGCACAAGGCGAAGTGGCGTAACAAAAGTATTCTTCCGTCCGCCCCGCGGGTCCCCCCGCCGCCGCCGCCTACCACTCGCCGCAACGACACCGCTCCACGGCCCCCCCCCACGGCCCTAATCGCCTTCCTTCCCCTTCCCCTGTGTCCTGCTCCGACTCCGACTCCTCCTACTCCGCGCCCGCCCGCCGGTCGGCCGCTCAGTGCCCCCCCCCGCCGCGTATCGCGTCATGGCCCCGTAAGTCCCCACGACCGTCCCCTCGCGCGCGCGTGTATGTGTATGTGTATGTGCGCAAGCAACAAGCCCTTTCCGCCCGCGAGATACTTCGTTCCGGTCCCCATCATCGGCTTTTGCGTTGTCCCTGACGGGGGCCACCTCCGCACCTCCTCACCTCCTCACAGCTACATCATCTACATCTGCACAGTAACTTCACCACCACCACCACCACCACCACATATACGACCCGTGGAGCGATTGCTTCATCAAAACATACATATGAACTTGCAAACATACATACAAACGCATGCACGTCGACACCTCCTTGCTTTCCATGGCTACCTGGCCTCTAGTTCCCGTAACCAACCACCAACCAACCAACCAATCGCCACCCATCCACCCAGTCCCGTTCGCTGTACCAGACAGCCCACCACCTCTAGACAGCGCGCCCGCCACATCCCGCCGCCACCAGCAGGACCCTACCGCTGCCACCTACTGCTCGGCCGCAGCCCCAAACGAGTTCCCACTGGCGTGGCGGCCTCGCAGCGACGCCGGCGCCGCCATCCCCACATGCGCACCCGCTGGCGGTGCCGCGGCCGCCGGTGGCGGTGACGACGCCGACGACGAGACGGCGGCGGCGTCCAGCCCTAGAAGGCAGCCCCCGGGGGATGCTGGCGGCGACATGAGGTCCGCATCATCGTTTGACCCACGGGAGAGGCGAGCACCCGCCTCGCTCCGATGCGATAGCCGGAGGGGGCCGTCGAAGCCGGCGGTGGTAGCGGTAGCGGAGGCGGAGGCGGCCCCGTCGCTGCCGCCAGCCGGCCGCACCGGGGTAGAGGTGCATGTGGAGGTGGCGGAGGTGGACGGTGGCGTGCCTGCCAGCGGAGGCGAAGCGGTTCCGGAGCTGCCGCCACCGCTGCCAGCACGGCTACGCAGCCGCGTGAGGGCGCTTACGCCACCACCGCATTCGCCACCATCCTCATTTGGCGTCAGCGGCGAGCCGAACACATCGCGCTGCTGCCCTGCCGCCACCGCCACCGCTGCCGCCAGTGCCGCTGCCGCCGCCGCCGCTGCCGGGCTTGCAAACGCCGACGTAGACCCCGACCTACCGCTGCCGTTCCGCTTGCTTCTGCCGCCACTGCCGTTGCGCCTCTCCAGCCGCGGCACCAGTCGCTCCGTCGGCGACCCGGGCGGCGAAGACCCCGGAAACGGCTCCAGGCCAGCCCCGGAGGCCAGCCCCGGAACCGCCGCAGCCGTCCCCGGCCCCACCTGAGCGGA